CTATTTCTAGATTAAAATTAAATAAATATGTTATAATAAGTATCTTTATATATAATTAATACATTTAAATGCATGATTTTCATTAAGGGATTAAAATTAATGTAGTAAATTTTTTGAAATTTTGATTATTGTTACTTTCAAACAGATGACTTTGTTTAGAAAGGGGAAAAAAATAGAAAAGTATTCATAAGTAAGGTTAATACCCGTTTTTATTCAAGACATTAAGGACGTGAATATTTTGTTCGAAAAATAATGAATGGTAATTTTATTCATAGCTTATTATAAATTCATGGCTCTTGACTTAATTTATATTTTCTCAAAAATGTTATTTAAAATTGTAATTAACTTAAAATTTTTCGAAGTTTGTTTATAAAAATATTTATAGGGTTTTCTTTAGTATATGCAGATTTATGCTAAAGGCTAAGGTTTCCAAATTGGTTTTTGTAAACAATCGAAATTTCAATTTTCAACGGACTTAATCCAATTTTATGTTATTACTCAAACAAAATACAGATTGGAATATCATCTCTTGCTCATTAAATATATTATCTTCATTATGTTTTATCTTCATCATCATCGTTATCTTACTGAAATATCTTTATTATATTTATTATATTTAAGTAATTTATTACGTTAAATCATTTTCAAGCGTAATTAATTTATTGTAATTACTTCGATAATGAGCTTAATGTAGATTTTAGTGGGGAAAAAAATATTGAATATAAAATTTAATTCTTTTTTTTATAAAAAAAAACATTGTGTAAAATTTATGCTTAATTATACGTTTGTATTGTCTATAAGATTACAACCGATAAAATAAAAAAAACGTTAACATTAAAATGAATTAGACATAATGAATTAATCATGAGGTACATAATTATATGCGGTATAACATTCAACATCTTAGAAATATCATAAAATTGATAAATATTTAACTTTGTGCAATTATTTTTATTAGAGTCAATGTAAAAATAAAAAAATAAATTTTTGATAAAAAAAATAAAATTTTTGCAAAATTAAAGACAAAAACAAAAGAAAAAAAGCTATACGTAACCTGATAATATTAATTTTCTAGTAGACAACATATATTAAGACAAAACTGGTAAATAAAACGAACCAATACAATATTTAAAGTATCGAATTTACATCACCCTTCCAAAAACCTATTAATCAAAGGGTTTTTTTTCCTGGTAGCACTTAACAGCCTGAAAGCAAGCATTTTTTTTTTCTCTTGACCTGGCTTGTATAACTTTCCATAACTAGAAATAAATTGAGTCACAATTTATCTCTAGTCACGAAAAACTTAAAAGCATATTTACACCATTTCGACATCACACAGAGTGCAAATTGTAGCTGCTCCTTCGATAAGCTTCAGATTGCAGAACATTTGACTTTTTATTTTATTTTATTTTAAATTTAGAAAGAAGAAAATACCTAAGAACTTTTTATTTTATGGTTTACCTTTTATATATGATTTATCGTTAGTTGTTTTTAATGTTAATTATGTTTCTCTTTTCGTTTATATTACGTAGCCTATTTATAAGGCAATAACTTATAATTTTATTATTAATTTTTGTCAGTTATAATTAAAATTAAATTATTTATTTTTGGCAACAAATGATAAATAATTCTGTTATTTATATGCATTTTAAAAACTTATTTTTAATACATAACTGCGAGATTTATAATCATAAACAAGTCACATTGCAAAATTTGTGTTAAAAATAAGTTTAGTAAATTGTAATTAATTATATTTTAAATTGTTTATTTATTGAAAATTTCAAGAATAAATCAAAAAGTAATTAAATGTAGCCTTAAATTCAATTTGTTAACTTTGAATGTGCCATATAAAATAAGTCCATGGTTTATAATGTTTTAAACTTAATTTTAGAACTGGATATAAGCAATCATATTAAACAATAGCTATATTTTTACTTTAAATTATATATTTTAAAATAAAAATTTACGAAATCTTGTCAAGAAGACATTNGAGCAAGAAAATCTCCTACAGGCCTATTGACATGGATATAAGCAATCATATTAAACAATAGCTATATTTTTACTTTAAATTATATATTTTAAAATAAAAATTTACGAAATCTTGTCAAGAAGACATTTCAAAATAGAATTCTAACATATATCAAGTTAACTATCCCGTAACCATGAAGTAGCCAAACTATATGTGTCCCAAGGCACCGATTACTCTTAAGTCCTTCTAATTACATGGAATTGCAACTTCCGTCCATCTTTAATGTCCGAGAATCAATCCCCAAACTTCCACACCCACGACTAATTATCTGGGAAATTCAGTGAGCCAGAGAGGTAACATGAAGACATCAGGTCTAAAACTAGAGTGCCAGTGGGCGGGTTTAGAAGTGCCAAGTCTACTGTGACTTGCCTCTGTGACAGATGGTCAGCAGTAACACTGGATGTAGCAATCTGCTTGATTGTTTGTTTACTTTCATACCACATCTCGGCCATTTTGAATAACAGTGATAGATATGCCAGCTATATAACATAGAGAAAATCAAAATTTCAATTTTGATATATTTCTATTGACAATTTAGTGACAATATGTATAAAAAATTCCATATATTTCTATAGGTAACATTCTGTTTCAATCGTTTTTCTTAAATGATGCAAAAATTCGTCGTTTCCTTTATTGAAAAATATTCTTATATTAGATTGATATTTAGGTATGAAATGTTACATTTTTAGAATATTTTTTTAAATTTAAATCTCTACGTTAAAAATGGCAAAATATAAGCCTAGGCCTGAACTTTATGTTTAAAAATTTATGTAGAAAATTTAGAATATTTGCTACGGTATTTTAAAGCACAGCTTTGTCATCTTTTATTGTTTAAGATTGTATCCACTCATTCAAATATCAACATTTATACAGTATAAGTGAAATTATAGTAATTTCATATTGACTTATAACGTTGGATTAATTAGAAGTATTCATTTTGATGAATTAGAAGTTATCCTACACCGCCATATTTAATAAATTGTTGAGTCAATTCTGTAAAATATTCATATTGTTCTGTTTTATTTTATTTTGCAGAAAAATCCAGAAAAATAGTTTTATCTTTTTATCTAATAGTTTTATCAGACAATTTTTTTCCTATTTGTATTGTACTGTACAGTAGACATGTTTTAACGTTTTTGAAAACAACATATAATTCTCGGTTCATCATGACCGATTTTATTGCTAAATTTAAATATAGACTATTATAACAGCTATTATTTTTGTGAACATTCATTAAAATTTTCATTTTTAGTTTAATCATCTTTAGTAATCATGAAAATTTTACATATTAAAATACTGAATAGAATAATATTTATCAATGTATTATTTTTCTCAAAATATTAAGATTAGCATTTCAATATATAGCTTATATTTGCGTCATACCAGTTTTCAGAATTAATTTTTATACCAATTATGCAGATAAAAATCTCTTTGTAATTGTTTATTACATTAAAGATTTTTAGATATTGTATTATGTCAAATAATTTATTTGACTTCGGCTACATATAAAGGTATTATAATGACAATTATTAGCCTAAAGATAATAATAATCCTACATTACTAATCCTATAATTAATGTAATTTACAACTGTATATAGGCTACATATGCCTATATATATATTACACTAGTTTGTTTTCCATAAAAAAAAAATTAATTGAGAAAACGACCTCGATTAAATGTAAATTGTTTGGGATTTTAGTGATTAATATAAAAAATTTTGATAAAATAAAATAAAAATTAATTTTATTATCTATCTCTAACTAGATCTTAGATTTTATTTATTAAAATTTGATAGGTTTATGATATAAAAATCATATTGAAAAAATGCTTTATAATTAGCATTGTTGTAACTAATAGATTATTTTTAAAAACTTTGTATTTAATAAAATGTAATTTTAAAAAATCTTATTAAATTTTAAATACTGTAAGTAGATTTAATTAAATATTATTTTAAAAAATAAACTAAAGCTGTTTTTTTTTTGACAAAAAAAATTTAATATAGAAACTGTCCTTGGCTAGTATGATTAATTGGTATCTTTAGTAATTAATCTCATATAATATATTTAGAATTCTTATATAACAAAAGATACAGAAATTACTTAAATAAAATACTAAGAATTATTAATTTTATAAATTTATAAATATTTAAATATTTTTAGATTTAGACGAACAAGCCTGTAAACTTACAACGTGTTATATCGTTGAAATCATTAATAATTTGTTAGAAATTTTTAAATACTTAAGCTTGTACTAGGCCTATGTAAGTGTTATACAGATTAACAGTAATGGAAAGAATAGTAAACCATTTGAAAGTGCTAACTTACTCTTTTTAAAAGTTGAATGAGGGAATTTATATCGAGGTCTTGAGAAGGTGGAAATTATATTTAAATATTGTATTGACAAAGTACAGACAATATATCTAGGCAAGTGAGGCGTCTCGTATTGATTCTATGATTATAAAAGTAGTGCTATGAAATATTGATTGATTCAGCACTGTGTTTAGTTGTCTGAAAATATGACAGACTAATAATAAAATAAAATTAATCACATATTATAAAATGTTGATTTTTAAAAAGGAAATATTATTAATAATGTTTAATTAATCTAATTTTATTACTTTGTAGAAATAGTAATTATTTAGTAATTAAATCTTTAAAAATGGCAATAATTAATGTGATTTAATGTCATTAATATAAGACAATAATCATTTCGTTTTTCCAATCACGAGTTTATTTAACAACAGAAAGTAAATGAAGGTAATAGAGAGTCATGGTAGACAAAGATATTTGAGAGAAAATACAAACATTGTTTTCTTTTCTTCAAAAAAAGAAAAACAAACAAAAATATAACAAAAAATAGTTTTCAAAAGCTTACAATAACAACAGTTTTGAGTCAACAATAAATTCGCACATTTCTAGCGAAGTTGAGAGAAAATTCGATTGTTTTCTACAGGACACAAGGAGAAAAATCCCTAATTTACGTATACACATAGAGATCTTGGAATTGAGTATACATTGTCAGAAAATAGGGAGATAATTAGGGTTTTTTTTGGCGCGAACAGTTTTACTTATATTTGAGTTCAAAGGTTACCATACTTCAATACAATCATTTATCAATCATAAAAGGAACTACAGTCGTTTATTTATTTTATTTTTCTCTTCTAATTGTTAAGTATATTCACTTCTATATTAAAACGTGCTAATGAAATAAACTAATTTTCATGAAATTTCAGTTGTTTTTAGGTTAAACAATTTTTAATATTTCTACAGAAAATCATTTAAATATAACGAGTAAATGACCGTAATAGTAAGGTCACATAGTAAATTCGCTGCAAAATGATCGTTCGAAGAACGGCCAGGAAGACCTCCCAACTCCATACTTGTCACGCCTCGTATACTGGGAATGGTTTTTTTTTCTTTGATACGTATATTATTGGGAATAAAGTTGTAACAATCGATCATAGACAATTCTTTTACTTTAATACGTATATGTTGTCGTATACATAGTTAGAAGGTAACGTTACTCTTCAACACGCTATAGGCCTATAGTCGACCAATAAGAAGCGCATAAGTGTAGATCTACACACAGGCTTATTCGTAAGCTTTTCTTTATATTCAGTAGAAAACAAATACAATCATTTTCCTTTTTTTCCGAACTATTTAACAATATCATGCGAAACTGCAGTCATTTAACTAACAACAAAAATCTATTACATAATATATTTCGCTTAATAAATTTTAATGATGCTATTTTATTTTTTTCTTCCAAATATTAAAATTAACTTCACGGATATAATTCTTAATATTTTCACATAGTATCAAGGATAATGTACATTACTGTACATTGTAAACAATACGATTTTCACAAATTAATGAGTAATACTGGCCTCTGCCTCCGCCTCCGAATCAAAGTTTCAAAATAAATAATTTTCAACGTATATTTATTGAAATTAACTGTTCAGACTATCAATATTAATTATTATATACAAATTTTAAATCATTTTATGAATTATAATGAAATATTCGTATTAAAATATTAAAAATTAGAGTGTTAGACACTATCACATCTATAAGTTTTTAAGCCTATGGCACTTATAAACGTAAAATAATAAAATAGTTTTATTCAAGATACACAACAGACCTCGCCTTTTTAAAAAATGATAAAGTTTTAAATCACATACGTAACCTAGAAAGAAAAAAAAATTCGAGGAATCGAATTGATTTTGAACAAGAAATATTAACTGTTAACAAATAATATATTCATAGATGAAAAATATAAATATTTGTGTTAGTATTTATATCATCTGACATAAGTAATATGATTTTGAGACATAAAAAATAAATAGATTTATTTATGCTATTAGCTTTATGTAGAATAACAAACAGCGAAGGGATAGGCTTTAGGCCTATGCTTAAACAATAACATTAGACTAATAGCATGATTTAGTTGGATTTGACGTCAGTAGGTTGGTGAAAATAGATAGTACCTTTATCCCACTAGAGTTGCGGAAAGAAGAGATGATACAAATGCCCGAGGTTCCATAAAGATAAGTGGTTATAGCGATAGCTACTGGTTTTTCTTTTCTGCTGACAACTAACTAATCTTGTCAGTAATCCGAGCTGTCTAAATATCCAACTTATCCTTCTCATTACCGTGAAGTATTTTTTTGGAGATTAAAATAGTACATTCGACTACAAACACATTACCTTTTTTTTATAATTTGAAATGATAATTTATTCTAAAATTTAAATAGAGAGATTCGAAGCAAAATAGAATATAATAGAAATGGACTTTTAAGAGTAAAAAGTTTTATGTGTTTACAAATTTTAAATTCGTAGAATTTGAGAGTAAATACTCAGTAATTTGAAATCTATTCTTGTCTTGTACTCAAGTAGACATTTAAAAGAGTAAATTTTAGATAAAATTCGTATCAATTGTAGTTTAGAAAATATAGAATTGTTAAAACAATTTTAATCAAAAAATATTTAAATTGGTTAATAAAATAAAACAAAAAGACTAACCTTTAATTCGCCAAGTCGAACTAAGACATGCATTTAATTTTCCGAATAAATTTTACGATCCACTTGTCGAAAGTATATGAGGTTTAATCCATTTTGATAGTGTTAAGCAAGAGTAAAATCATGACCATCACCTAGCTGCCAAGACAATATTATGCTCCTACTAAACCCTCTGTCTAGAGTAGCCTAAGTATTGCCGAACAGACAAGGGGGGGAGGAGTTCGTTTAGACGTTTAGAACTTTCTGAGACTGATTTATGATGCCCCCGTGACGAAGAAAAAGATTTAGCAGGGGTCCAACGGCACCACTTTTGTATCAAAGGATATTCTTTGGTAACAAACAACAAAGATTGCAAAGAACATACAATAGAAATGATACAACCTTCCTCTGAAGAAACCACATTAATACAAATTTTTGATGCGATGCACTTTGTTAAGTAAAATCCGATGTTAACTTGTCATAATGCGAACTAATGAGATCGTAAAGCTTGTAATTTGTAGCTTCTTATTACAATAGAATTAAATAGAATCGCTCAAAGGAACAAAATATCTATTAAAACTCCTTATTAGCAACATCAGTTGTGAAATTTATAGACCAATTATAATTTAGTATGTATTTATAATTAATTTTTCACGTGCATCTCTTGTTTAGTTCTATTACACGTTGGCTATATCAACCAAAATTAAAAAGAATAAGTCTACAGGCTATTTTTTTCCATCATAAATTTATCCATTATTGTCATAAATATCATAATTTATGAAAACTGTAGATTGTATTAAAATATAAATTTTAAAAAATTATATAGCCTATAGTTTATACGAATAGAGCAGAACTTATTACCAATATCAGTTAGAAGAAAAATGCCAAGAAGTAGCATATCTTATTGTTTTTATACCTATAAAAATTAATATAATAAATATTTAAAATAAATATAAATAACCTTTCTCGAGTTGAAATTTTTCATAAATTTTTACTAATACGCGTTAAAAACACGCGTAATTATCGTATTAAACAGTAAATTATTTTGTACTTCTTTACAATTTTTAACTAACTAATGTATAAGTAGGCTTGTGACTCAGTTCGAATTTCGTTTTTTTTTTTTAAATTAAACCTATTAATCTCACAGTTATTTAATATGTAACAGGTTCAAAGCGTCAAGACATTTAAAACCCGATGCAATAGAAAAGTGCAGTTTTGCGAATTCATATTCCAGAAAGAAATTCAATCAGGTTGAGTGAGTCCAGTCAACTCTCAATGAAGCATATACATTGTACTCATTCTTTTTCCGCAAACCAAAGAAGTATAACGCAGAAAAGCAAGACAGAATGATTAAGTACCATCGAAGACTTTTATTACTTTACGTGTTCTCATAGGAATAGAAACTGGGAAAAGTAAACTGGTAACAGCTGTTCTATGATGATATCTAGAGTAATATCGAAAAGAAATGATTTGCCTTTTGAGATGAATGACTCTCTGAAAGTCTATATACCTATTAGCTGTAATATGTTTTTAAAACCTCGTTTATTAAAAGGATAACTTGGACCATATTCTAAACTTTCCAATAATTAATTTCCAAATACGAAAATTCTAATAAAGTATCCTATATTAATTTTTCCATTTATTTTAATTTTTTAATCGAAAAATTCATTTAGATTTGCTACGAGTTATCAAACCAAACTGATGTAAATCTCATTTACAAAATAAAAAATAAAATTAAATAACCTTATAACTATATTTAGTAAGCTTAATAACTTATAGGTAATTGAAATAAAACATAACCTATTGATCTACATTGCCAAATATGCTAATGTTTTCCATGAAAATCTCTTTTGTTTATGTTTGTTTTAAAATTTTTTCATTCAAAATGAAAAATATTTGATAGATTTTTAGCAATTCGAAAAGGAAAACAATTCATTATATAATAGAATTATCAAGTATATTGAGATAAAAATAGAAATTGAATATATTAAATCTTGTAAATAAATGGCGAATTCCTTAGTTGAATAGAGGCTGAGGCCAGTATGAACAGTGAATTTAAATTATGTAAATAATTTAGTAAAGTAGTTTAATCAAATAAAGTGTTTTAGGAAATTTGTATGAGCAATTTCTGATTTAATTGATCGAAACTACTTTGAGGCCTATATTTTCTCTTCTAGAGTTTATTACCTTTCTTGCAATAAATTTAATTAATAATACTGTTTTTATTACTTATAAAAATGTTTAATTTACTTGTAGCACATTCATTAGTCGTGTTTAGAAAAAGCTGTCAGAGTGAGACAAAGAGCAAGAAAATCTCCTACAGGCCTATTGACATGAATCGCGCGCGATTGTTTCCTACCAAATAACGACATATCTTAAGAGAGGATCAAATTCGGACATATAACGCACATAACCCACTTCCCAGAACGATCAACCTACGCACCTAAAAGATCAGAGATAGACACTTTACATCACGAAACAAAACGGAGCAATTTAGTAGAATGCATTGACATCAGAGAAGAAAGATCCCTTTTTCTGCCTGACGTTATCGCGAACAATGACGACGACAAATTTCCAATACAACTAAGGTATATTTACATGTCCTAATCAACACCTACCGCGTGAGACACGGTTATGATTATCATAATTAGTATAATAAACATGTTATGGTAGCTTTACTTGGAGTCCCCTCCATGTGGAAGCACCATTCGCACAACACATATACGACACATTTTGTCGTCGTCAATATTCTATCCTGTACAACACAGCTCCAGTGATTTTTCGTCATTTTTTTAACTTGTACTGTTTTTTGTACAGTTCTCGTTATACTTAACATTTTCATTGGGTTGGGCGATGATCTAATACGTGTGTTAGTTCCGGTGGAGCTGGCCCTAATGCCAGGCCAGCTTCCAGTTTAGCTTTATTTTCTTTTTTCCATTTCATCCTCCGATTCTGAAACCATATCTTGATCTGACGTTCCGTTAGACATAGAGCGTGAGCTATTTCTATCCTTCTTCTCCGCGTCAGATAGCGGTTGAAGTGGAACTCTTTCTCCAATTCCAATGTCTGGTAGCGTGTATAGGTCTGGCGTCCGCGCTTTCGTTCTAGGAAAGATAAAAGAAACACAACAAATTAGATAACATTTATCTGTTTATAATCATTGATAAACAATCAGTTTATATACAATACACACACATTTTCAATTTAATACTTTACACACTATCATTAATTATTGTTGTCAGGTGTCCATTCTTATCCATAAAGCACATCAAAATTTTTTAAAATTGAGTTATATGTACATAATTATTTAATTTTTTTTTTTAAATTTTAGCGCTTTAGTTTAGGTTATATGACTTAGTTTCAATTATAAATAGGACAAAAGGTGATATTAAGTATGTAACAATCTTTTCCCCATCAATATACTGTATAAATAGGTTTATAGATTATTATAAACAAACAGGTTTATAGATTATTGAAAATAGGAAAGTAAAATATTTTCATAGTTTGTCGTTTTTGAATTATAAAGTACAGTACAATTTTCTCAAAATTGGATTTATTTTTAAAACTTTAAGTATTAAATAAACAAAAATACGTGCTAAAATAGTTACTTTTTAAGGTGTAAGGGAGTAAAAATTATGGACTTTCGCACAGCACGCTTATGCTATTACGTATGATCGAATATAAATAATTCTTTTGTTTATGTTCTAAATTTTCGATAGCTGAATAGCAAATTGCGGGTACATGTTGACACATTTCGAAGCCAAAACACGTATTCCAGGAAGACCGCCCAAGTGGCCCACGTGCCATAAAAGAAGGAAAGGAGATGAAAAAACACTGCCAGCTTCAGAGGTCGCCCGCCTAACTCACGGCTGTCACAATCGTTTTACAACTTGTTGTATTCACGAAAACAAGGCGACTCCAGTGACATGGGGGGCAGGTTTTACACAGCAATTACACAGCAATTACATGACATATACCAGGCCATACAACCTCAATTAGGCGTCGACAGAAGAAATGAGATTACAAAAGGTTCTTTGGAAGTTGTCGGATGGACTGCTACATCTCAAATGATAACGAAACAAATCTGAAAAATGACCCATTTTTCTCTCCAGTTTGAAATGCTTCTATTCTTATCAAATTAGTTTTGTGTTTTTACTTTCTTCCATCTGGAAATTACCCTATAATTATATGGCTTTTTCGTGTTTGAACTGTTCTGTAATTGAAAAGAATTAATTAGATTAAAAATTACAATAAATGAATTAGCTTTAAATATTCATTTAAGTAGCACAGAATTCATTTCTTAAGCTTTGATAACTATTTTGATAATTTTGTTTCGTTCATGTTATTAAATGTGAAGTGGATGGAAATTGCTAAATAATTTAATAACCTAAGTTATTTTGTGATTTTTATGAACTTTTTTTATTCAAAAGAAATTTTCTTAAATTCTGTTTAGATGCAGCAGCAGAGTTAGACAATTCTAATTTGCAAAATGATTTAGAAAGACATTAAACTGATGTGTGCTCGGTATTGACGAACGCACTTAAAGCAAATTCGAGTAGATTGCTGTTCGATATAACACAAGCTAAACCCGTTTCCATAGCGAATAATGCTAATTAAATATTTGCTAAAGATAACAAAAATCGTTCACGAATATTATTAATGGGATTCATATACCGTAGAGAATTTCTAGATTGATTCGGCTAACGAGTAGAAACGAAACATCATTTATGGTTGACGTTAATAATAGAAAATAAAAAAGGAAGAAAAGAAACCGAAATTAAAGTTTGAAAATCATTTGTCAGATGGAAGTTTTCTTGTGTGGCTTTTTTCATCCTAACCTTAATCCCGCTGTCACTGAAACAAACAGCATTCGAGTCTGCAGAGAAGTTTTACGAATTTAGCTACTTCTTTTCCCTTCTAGTGAAAGATGGCAGCAATTCGTTGCCATCCATGCTTCACTCACTGCTTACCCTTATACTGTCAGTGGGCCGGATTAAGGAATGGACGTGTGGGAGATGAGGTAACACATCTTAGCGCTTGCTTCGTACCAACTAGAAATTCTGCACGGAACAGAAATAAGAAATAGCTGCGGGCGCGATTAATTTCCGCGCATCGCTTTATTTCTTCTCCGGGGAAATTTCCGTAGAAATCCAGCAGTGGTTACCATCTTTCTAGTTTCTTTTTCGTTGGCAGACCGGGTTGATGAACGAGGGGATTCGAGTGCCAGCTGCGCTCGTACTCTCCATTGCCTTCTGCTAGAAGGAAAGTGGGGAGCGAACGAGAAATAGAAAAGCTGGGCAGGTAATTGATTTTCTTTCCCATCACATTCCAGTACCGAACATAGTTTATCCTTGACTGATGGCTGATGGGATGAAGGTTCTGAAGGATTATGGGTTAGTGCGTGGGAAATTCGACCACTGGCGCTATTTTCTTTTTAAAGTAAACATTGCGTGTTTTTTTCCAGATAGGACCATTCATATTAATAAATGCGAAACGTTTTGAATTTCAAGCGGATCAAATGCTGTTCTTAGATATAGAAACATTACAAATAAATGTAAATATGCAATTTTAAATATCGATCCGATGCAAATAAAATTTTTTCACTTCCTTTAATCGAAAATAAAAATAAATTATGTTCAAAACATACGAAAAATTCTACATATTTAAAATGTTTTTCTCTTTTCGTATTTTCATATTTTTATAAGAACATTAATTGATAAATTACAATGGAAATATTCATATTTATTTATGAAAAATGTAATTTATTAATTATAAAATATAAGCTATATAAATGCCTCAAATAATTAAATATCTTATTCGATAATAATTTTGAAATATTTTTAAACAAAACTTTGCTACTTTTTGCAACAAATCTATACAAAATTAAATTGTTCTTTTTGAAATAAAAATAAATAAATAAATAGACTTATATGTTTTTTTCCTCATGGCAATTAAGGCAAAGTAACAAAATTTCATCATCATTTCTTACATATATTACCTTGAATATTTTTAATTAAAATTGCTATAAAGTATTAATTGACAATTTTCCTTTATGATTTCTTCGAATCCATTATCATTTTACGTTTTGTCCTTCGCAAATATAAGCTATTAATTACGATGCATAACCTCGCCTTTTTTTTAGTCTAGCTCCTATCGATCGCTATTAAATTAGCATTCCCCGTTCTTCCTTCTTCCGTTGCTCCAGTTATTCCATCAGAATTATGTTAGAAATATTGCTCTATAAATATGTTTAAGATAATATTTTATCAATAATCAGTATTAGATTTAATTATTTGAATTTACAGAAGTATCTATGATGAAGAGAAAAACAGATAATGTCATTTGAAATTTAATAAATTTTTTCCTCAATATTTTATAAATTAATTCGAGTTGAATCGATCGTATTTTCAATTTAGGCAGACAAATTTTAAAAGTATTCTTATGTATATAAGCAGAATTTGAACAACAAAGGATACTGAATAGTTCGTATCGTTTCAATTAAGAATTCGATTATTGTATATAGATTTATTTTCGTTTAAGAGAAAAATGTTTTCCAAGTATAGCGAAGCAAAGTGACAGACATAATAGTTCTCGAGTGAATCACAAGACCCAAATGATTAGCTCAGTAGCTAATTAGTTCACAAATCTTTCACTAGGAGCCTGGGGGATTTCGGTAGTGCCTGGCGATCCTTTCTAAGTCTGAAAACAACGACTAACACCCATCAAGCGAAGATTCGAAGTTTTGCGTTAATGAAACCCTCATACCAATTAAACGACTTACCCGAACTCAGAACTAATTAAGACAATGTGCCGTGAATTCATTATGACTCGATTCCGTTGTAATTCGTTACATTCTTAGCATCCAGTCATCCGCGTTTGGTTGCTGCATGCTCCACTCCACTTTACGAAATTTGATAAGGAAATAAGTCGAGCAGAGAAATTATTACTGCTGTAAAAAAACGCGAATAGTTTGAAAATATACTGAAAAGTGAACATACTATCAACAAAAAATAAATAAAGATTATTTTCTTTCCTTTTTCGTTTCCACACTTTGCTATTCAAACAAACGCGTATGATAATCTGTTCCCAGAAAAATGCGCAAAGGTAGCTTATTTCAGTAAAATTAAATTTTTAATCAATTATGCTTTAATCTTTATTTAAATATACTGTACAGTGCATATATTTTTAGCAAGAAATGATATAAAACAATTAATTTTTGCTGTTATTGACGTAATAGAATAAATTGAACTTTAATTCTATAATTTAGTCCAATTCATGATAAAATTTATATCCTATAATTTTAAATTCGATTTTTGTGATGTTTTTAAGTGGAATCCCTTATAAACTTTCCTTCCACAACTTCTAAGATAGAAATGGATTTAAATTAGCGTTTTTGAGAAACTCGGTGCCATAAAATCTTCTTAAAGTTTTATTTTTAAACACTCGTTAGTTCTACAACAGGATTAAATATCTTTTGAAATAATCTAAGCTTTGCTTGTTCAATATTTTTTAAAAATAAATCATAAATTATACGATTGATATTATTAGTAGTCTTAGTCGTGGAATAGATTGAATACGAAGAAACGAGTAAGCATCGTTTTACCTTTAAACTTTTCAATGGTTTGAAAATTTTAAATAATTCTAAAGGTAGGAATAGAGAAAAATTTGCAACGCATAGTTACAGTGTTATTTGTTACCAGTAAAGGCTTCAGAAACTATTGGATAGAGAACGGTTATATGTGAGATCCAAATAGAATCTCATACAATGTCACTGGTAATGTATACTATATCTCATTGAACTGAATAATACAGTCCTCTGTCTTATCTACGTTTTATATCTATTCATCTAATAAACCAATGCTTAGTTTAATATTTGTTTTCCGAACCAAAAATAAACATGGTGCAAATAAAACATGTTGTATCAGAATAAATAAAAAGTACAGTACACTTATTATTATTTACATCCTTTAGTAAATAGTAAAATTAAAATATTATTTATTCAAACGATTTAAATTTATAATAAAGCTAAATTAAAAATTATTTATTTAAGAAAAGTGACACAGCAAAATTTGTATTTCATGTAAGAAAATTAATCAAAAATAAT